TCTTCACTTGCAGGGGAAAGTTCGTCGCCACTGTATTCATCCTCAGATGATTCACTTGATTCTTCCTCAGATGATACATTTTCATCTTCTGATAATTCATTTTCATTATTTTCATCTTTTTCTGTGAATTCGTCATCAGAGAGATAACTTCGAATTCTTCATAAGAATCAATTCCTCGAAGGTCGGAATACAACGATTTCGTATCTCCATCGTAGTCGCACTCACTCTCACACATCGCCTCTTCCATGGAGTCATCATCAGCCTAGGCCATTTGCTATTCTTCTTTTGGATAGCTATAAGCGAACTTTTCCATTTTATAGCTTTGGGTTAATTTCGGTTAGTTTTCTAAGTAACTATTGTAGATGTTTGCAAAACAAAACTGATGAAAACTGTTGTAAAAGTTTGCAAATGTATGTATGCTATCTTTCATCAAATACAATCATTTGTGAAGATTTATCGAAAATACGAATGTACTGCGATCACATAGTACACACTCGATTCCAAACGAAGCCAAAAAACAGAAATATTTTTTTATCACAATGCTGCTATCAAACACGTGTGTACTGCTCCGTGTCTCGAATCGTCTTTTTCCTATTATCAATCAAAATTATTTAAATATTCGCAAATTCTAAGATTATCAGAAGTTTAGGAAATCATATTACAATTACTTCAGAATAAATGAAAGTTTGTTGTTTAAATGCTAATGAAATTAAAAGTAATAAAATTTTAGAATTTGTGGCAATTTCCATAATTAGCAATAAATTTTTAAATGGAACGTGAATAAAACCTAATTGATGGTCAATTATAGTAAAATTATTAAATTTTTAGAATTTATTTTTACTTTATTTAAAGTTTTCATGAAATATCCCTTTCCTTGATGATTAAAAAAGTGTATTTCTTGCAAGTTTCGCTAACTTTGTGGTAATTCTTAAATTATTGTTTTTGCATAACTTTCAACATTTGATAATCATCTTTTTTTTCTATCATAAATCAAAATTACTTAAATGCATGAATTTGTGTAAATACTAGCATTTTTAATAACATTCTACTTTTTTTTGTACAAGTAATCAATCATCTTTTTCTTCTCTTATAAATTTAAAATATTTAAAGATATAATCTAAACATTTTACAATAATAATTGTCGACATTTACTGAATTTGCGATATTTCTAAGAAAATGAAATATTAACAAGTCACTTTTTTATTGAACTACCTGCTACCCTTTTTTCGGAAAAACTGTAGTAATGATTGTAAAATGCATTGGAGGGGATGCGAAAATGGTATAAAAGCATGTGCAAATTTTTACAAATCCATCAGTTCTGTTTTGTAAAGGTCTGCAACAGTTGCTTAGAAAACTTCTCGAAATCTTTTTGAAAATGGCAAAGTTCGCTTATTCTTACCCCAGAGAAGAAATGAAAATTACCTACGACGATGATGAGGAGAATATGATGGAAGAGGAGATGAGTGGGAATGAGAAGGAATACGATGGTGATGAAGAAGACAGCGAAAGTGTCACCGATGAGGAATCCCCAGAAGATGAAAATGAAATATCCTCAGGTGAATCAAGTGAATCATCTGAGGATGAATATAGTGAAGATGAACTTGCCCCTGCAGCAAAAAGAATAAAATATGTCCACAAAAACTATAGTAAGTGGACTGAGGATCGGAATGAATTTCATTCAAATGAAAATATATTGAAATTCTTATACGAAGATGACATTATAATGAGGAATACAGAAAGTGAAGAGGATAGCGATGATGAGAGGTATACTAACTAGAGTTCGACTTGCTCTTCCTCTTAAGCTAGTGAAGTCTACAAATTTCAATGGGTTCCGAAGAATTATGTAATCTTACCTTCACTGTAGAACAATCACACAGAATCTCAAATATCTACTCCAACATCTTTGTTGAATAGTTACCATGTTAAGAAATATTATCCTCTTTCTATTTGATAAAATAAATTTGAATTTTACAAAAAAAAAACACATTTTACTTTTATTTCTTCTCTATATGTTATCATGAAGTATATCAAGATTTTCCAAACACTTTGTAAATCCTGAAAATTTCACAAAATATCTTGTTCAATTATTTAGAAACATTCATTATTTAATTAGTAATTATTACCTTCCAGGTTTTCACAGAAATCATATTAAATTTAACATAGTTTGTTTATAAAACTTTGCTTTTATTTACAAATATATAATACATAATTATTTTCAATTCCAATACTTTTTTTTTACATTTATTTCCAAGTAATAATCATCATTTGTTTTTTTTGTTTTTACTAATATTTTACTTATTCTAGAAGTAAATAATCCTTTATTTTTATCTGTTATAAACTTGAAATATATACATTTAAGATATAGTTAAACACTATTTAGATAATTGTTGTTATTCAATAAATTTGCGCAAATTCTAAAATTTTGATAATTTCAATTTTCTTGACAAGTAAACAACAAACTTTCTTTTATTCTGAAACAATTGTATTATAATTTCTTAAACTTTCGATAATCTAAGAATTTGCGACAGAAAAAAGGGCGGAAAGATTTTTGCAGCAGATTAATTTATTTTTGTTATCAAAAATCAAAATTTTGGTAAGTGATATTTCATGAAGAAGAAATAACAGGAAAAGTTTTATTTTTGTAAAAAAAATCCAGTTATTCACTGGATTTCCGAAAATTCTAATCGACTTTATTATATTTTTGAAATATTTTTTATTTTTAGATTTATTTTAATAAAATTATAATGTGTTTTCGAAAAAAAACATCAAAACCAAAATCTGGGTTCAATTTTGCTACCCTTAATTTCGGGAAATCTGTATTATTGATTTGCAATTTTTACAAAAATTCATCAGTTTTGTTCACAAACATCTACAATTGTTGCTTAGAAAAAGTTTTCCAAATTATCAAAATGCCAAAGTTCGCTTATATCTACCCAAAAGAAGAATTGAAAATGGCCCACGACGATGATGATATATTTTCGAAATATTTATTACCCATAGCTTTTATTTTAATAAAATTATATTATGTTTTTCAAAAAAAAAAACTTCAAAATCTGAGTTAAATTTTGCTACCCATAATTTCGGGAAATCTGTATTATTGATTTGCAATTTTTACAAATTCGTCAGTTTTGTTGCTTAGAAAAAGTTTTCTAAACTTATCAAAATGGGAAAGTTCGGTTATATCTACCCAAAAGAAGAATTGAAAATGGCCCACGACGATGATGACTTAATGGAAGAGGAGATGAGTGGGAATGAGTCTGACTATGATGGAGATACAGAATCGATGTATTCCGACCTCAGAGAAAGTGACCCTCACGAAGAATTCGATAACTCAGATGATGATGACAGTGTCTCTGATGAGGAAATACCAGAAAACGATGAAAATGAAATATCCTCAGATGAATCAAGTGAATCATCTGAGGATGAATACAGTTAAGATGAAATTTCCCCTGCAACAAAAAGAATTAAATATGTCCACAAAAACTATAGTAAGTGGACTGAAGATAGGAATGAATTTCATTCAAATGAGAAGATGTTGCAATTCCTCTACAAGGATGATATTATAATAAAAAGCAATAGTATTATGAACGAGAACGCGTCTCAATACAAATTCGGTAGCGGACACGAAGAAAGTGATGTGGATTGCGACGATAGTGGTGATTCAATTAATAACGAAATGATGACAAGTATACTGACAAGAGTATAACTTGCTCTTTCTCACCGAAACAGATGAAAATGAAATATCTTAAGATGAAAATAAAATATCTTAAGATGAAATTGAAGTATCTCAAGATGAAATTGAAGTATCTAATGCTGAAACAGAAGTATCTCAATATGAATCAAGGGAATCAACTGAGGATGAATACAGTGAAGATGAACTTGCCCCTGCAGCGAAGAGGATAAAATACGTCCACAAGAACTATATCAAATGGATTGAAGATCGGGATGAAATTAGTTCAAATGAAAATATGTTAAAATTCCTCTACGAAGATGATATTGTAATTAAGGACACAGAAAGTGAAGAGGATAGCAAGTATGAGAATTGATGAGAAGTATACAGACTAGAGTTTGACTTGCTCTTCCTCTAAACCTAGTAAAGGCTACACATTTCAATGGGATCCGAATATCTATGTAATCTTCAATTCACTATACAACAATCACACAGAATCTCGACATTCTTTTCAATTAATAATATTTCAGTTTAAATAATTCAATTTTTTTTTAGGAAAATTGTATACTAACTAACCAAGCTAACAAATATTATTTATTCTATGAGTTTATGTTGATAAAATTAATTTTAATTTTACGACAAAAAAAAATTTTTGCATTTTATTTCTTCTATATTTGTTTTAATGAAATATCACTTTTCTTGATTATAGAAAATATATTTTGTGCTATATTTTCAGTAACATTTTATTAATTTTACAAGTTACTGAATCATCTTTTTTTTTCTATTCTAAACTTGAAATGTTTAAAGTTAATTTTAAGATATCTGCTGTTATTCCATAAATTCTCAAAAAGGAATGTGTTTCCAGTTATTCCATCAAAATTTGAATATTTTTGCTTAAGAATAAAAGAGTAAATTTTCCAAAATTTATAGAATTTACGAAAATCCGTTGAATTGCAACAATTTTTTTAAATAGAGTGTTTTTCTATGTATACTATATAATTAAATTTCGGCACACAGTCCATTAGCGAATACCACTTTCATACTGAAAATAAATATTACTTAGTAAACTACATCTTCGATTTGTTATCAAATCTAGACATAATATTTCTGAGTAAATAATATAAATTCAAATTAATTTTTTTTTGTCAACGTTGGGTATAAAGAATAAGTATTTAGTAAAAATATACTAGAAAACTTACATCTTCTAAACGATTTAACGCATAACGCAAATCTTGTTGTCGAAACCTCTTTTTCTCTTCATCATAGAATCGAACAACTTTCTGCAGGACTCTTCATCCTTAAACCATATGTTTCCTGTACTCATGGAATCTTAATCTTCTAAATTATCATCATCATCATGGTCCATTTCAAACTTTGATGATGATTCATCGTCCTCGTCATAATCTATGTCGCTTTCAGAAGAATGTTCATCATCTCCGTCGCGGCTGCTCTCATACAGCGAATTGTTTGCGATTCATTGAAAGAAATCATCGCTAAAATATTTGGGGATAGTTTGTGTTATTGCTTTAACTGAAAAGTACAACAAACCGAAGTGATGATCTACCCTCTAATAAGGATTCGCCTGGGCATTAAGAAAATCCAGAAAATTCTTCATCTTTTCAACGTATTTTTCTTTTTCTTAATGGAAATCTTCAGTTTAACTTCTTGATCCATCGGATTTTATTGCTTTTCACCTTCTTTCTTCACCTTCTATTCTTTCTTGACCTTACAAGTTTCATCTTTTTTCAACTTCTTTTTCTTCTTGACCTTATATTCCTCTACTTTTTCTTCCTCTTATGAACTTTAACAATTCTCTTTCTTCACCTTCTTTCTTGACGTAGTGGCACATCATCATCTTCATCAGATTCATTTTTTCTTTTAAATGATTCAAGTGCAGGCAAGGGTATATCTTCTTCACTTTCTTCATCTTCAAAACTATCTTCCAATTTAGGTACATCTTTGAATTGAGATAAATTATAATCACAGCTGAAATGTTTGGATCCTTTTCCTCATCATTTTATTCTTTCACCTAACATTAATTTTCTTCTTTCATCATCCTCAACACAGTTGAATAATTATTTTTGTAATAATTTTCTCTTCTTTCTCATTAATTTTCTTTGTCATTTTCAAATTACTCACATTTAATCCACATCGCCTCATCCAATTCATCCAGTCTTAATTTAAACTCATTTTCTCTCGATTTCAATTCTTTAGGAAACCTTGCCAAACGACCATTGAAATGAACCAACTTCGATTCAATCCACTCTGCCAAGATTGAACCATCATGGCAGATGAAAATGCTCTATCAAGTTCGCCAATAATTCAATCTTCACCGCCGTTTCAGGATTTAAAACATCCCCAGTTTCCTGCAATAGAAGAGACGCAAGTTTAACTGATTGTGTTGTTAAATGCTCGAAAACTCTTGCACTTAATTCAGAGTCTTTTGCACATCCATAATTGCATTTAAATTTCTATCAAACTAAACCAAAATGAAAGTAAACTCTTGTCAAAAAAAACGTCTTCAAATTTTGAATAAACTGAATTGAAAAATGCAAACTGATAAGTGATAAGCAAAAAAATGAATGACTTTCGTTCTGAATAAACGTGTACCAAAAAAAAACTAAATAAAGTCCAAAAATCATACCTTTACTAATTACAATTATTTAACAACTCATCCAAACGTCTTGATCTTCTTAATCAACCTTTTTGATCCGACGCTTAACGTCGCTTCTGTTGGTCGCCAATTTGTAACACGACGGATGCTATCGCTTATGAAATACAAATGTAAAGTATAAAAAAAATCTTCAAGCCACTTCCTTTTCCGGAGAGGAAGAACTTCAACTTCTGCTTCTTCAGATCAGCACACTTCTTCTCAATCGAGCTAGGTTTTTACAGTTCTGGAGACCTCAACCGTCTTTCTTCAAGATTCGATGCGATCTCCCCGAAATTCTGTAAAATCATTGCACCGTGGAACGTTGTTTCCAGTGTTGTCAACTTTACCACAATACAAAATATTAAGCTAAAAACACGTAGAAGTTATAAGGATTCTTCAGAAGAAAGAAGAAATTGATTGAAAAAATCTGTTTATTCCCTAATTCGTGACTTTTTTTTATATAAATATGGTTTGACCAAATGACATTTTTACGAATATAAATCGAAACGTTTATGGAACAAACCAAAAAAAAAAAAATTGGCGTTGCAATTTTGTAAATTAACAAAATGACATGTGTCAAATAAGTTGCGTAACATTTGCAAACGAATCGAATTTGCAAATGTTGCACATGAAGGATAAATATAAATTTTTATATATAATTAGCTAAAAACACGTACAAGTTGTAAGGATTCTTTAAAATCTGTTTATTTCCTAATTCGTGACTTTTCTTTCTAAATATAATTTGACCAAATGACATTTTTACGAATATAAATCGAAACGTTTATGGACAAACCAAAAAAAAAAAAAGTTGGTGTTGCAATTTTGTAAATTAACAAATTGACATGTGTCAAACAAGTTGCGTAACATTTGCAAACGAATCGAATTTGCAAGTGTTGCACATGAAGGATATATATAAATTTTAATATATATTTAGCTAAAAACACGTACAAGTTATAAGGATTCTTTAAAATCTGTTTATTTCCTAATTCGTGACTTTTCTTTATAAATATTATTTGACCAAAAGACATTTTTACGAATATAAATCGAAACGTTTATCGAACAAACCAAAAAAAAAAAGTTGGCATTGCAATTTTGTAAATTAACAAATTGACATGTGTCAAATAAGTTGTGTAACATTTGCAAACGAATCGAATTTGCAAGTTTTGCACATGAAGGATAAATATAAATTTTAATATATATTTAGCTAAAAACACGTACAAGTTATAAGGGTTCTTTAAAATCTGTTTATTTCCTAATTCGTGTCTTTTCTTTATAAATATGGATTAACCAAATGTCATTTTTACGAATATAAATCGAAACGTTTATGGAACAAACCAAAAAAAAAAAAGGTGGCGTTGCAATTTTGTAAATTAACAATTTGACATGTGTCAAACAAGTTGCGTAACATTTGCAAACGTATCGTTTCATAGAGAAACAGTGATAATAATTACGTTTTGAATAGTTTAAGCATTGAAATAAGTAAAGTAAGGTATGATGTGTCCACTTCTTCGTTTGCTGAAGATCAGTTTTATCCTGGATTGTCCTGGTAAGATTAAATACGTTTAAATTAAGAATTTTCTGAAAGTTTAGTAAAACAACAATAGCCAATTAAAAATTAGTTAACAATTACTTATTAAACTTTATAGAACAATCAACTCAGTTGCAACAACAACAACTGAAAGAAGTTACTTTAAGTCTCAAAACTATTCGGTTTCCAAACAATGGTAAAACATAACGGTTTTCGGTTTCGGTTTTTGAACAGCTTGTAATAACAAATTATAGAAGATAATCATGATCCAAACTGTAACTAATAAACTAATGTTCGTCGCTTTTCTAACTTTAAGTCTCAAAACTATTTGGTTTCCAAACAATGGTAAAACATAACCGGTTTTCATATAGAATATCGGTTCAAACGTGATATGAAGAAATTCGGTTTTCGAACAGCAAATTATATAAGAAAATCATGATCCAAACTGTAACTAATAAACTAATGGTAATGGACGGTTGTGGTCATCAATTTGAAAATGAGCGCATCCAAAGGAGTTTGAATCCTTCGACGCGGACGGACAGGATCAATCCAAAAATGGTCTCGGGCACGGTAGAAAGTGCACCGCTTTAGTTATTATAAGTCTCAAAACTATTCGGTTTTCAAACAATGGTAAAACACAACGGTTTTCATATAGAATATCGGTTCAAACGTGATATAAAGAAATTCGGTTTACGAACAGCTTTTACTAACAAATTATATAAGAAACTCATGATCCAAACTATAACTAATAAACTAATGGTAATCGATGGTTGTGGTCATCAATTTGAAAATGAGCGCATCCAAAAGAGTTTGAATCCTTCGACGCGGACGGACAGGATTGATCCAAAAACGGTCTCGGGCACGGTAGAAAGTGCACCGCTCAGATGTCGATAGGAAATAGCAGCAAGGCAAGGACCGAACGAAGAACGTGCCGCCGCTTATCCCAATAATTACCGATTGGAATCTATATAAATTTCATTTTATTGAGCGTTTCGAAAACGCGATTGCCACATTCCCATAGATTATATTCACTCTCTTAGTTTTTTTTTGTTACTTCTTGTTTCAATAGTTTCAATACGTGAAATATCGCCTGCGCAATTAAAGACACAAACTTATATATTCTTAATACAACGTTTTCATTTTTCTACTCCAGAATTTTTATAACGATTTTCTTTTCAAATATTTAATTTATTTGTCTATGAAGAAATTTCAGTAATTATGTTACATTATTTCCTAAATTCTGTAAATTTTCTGTGCTTTGCGTGAAATTCAATATAAAATAATTGTTGTATTAAATATAGTCCTGTTTCGTTAAACTCTTGATTAAATTTTAATAACTGAGAAGGTAAAAAGAATAGGTTTAAAACGAAATAATTCAATACTAAATCTATAATTTGGATGTGATCTATGATTTCGTGATTCACACGGATGCTGGTATCAATTTTAGAAGTGAAGTAGAGAGAAAAAAATAATGATAAATATGGGATGTGAACCATTATGTGTTGCCGTCTTGACCGGATTATATGACTCGCATTAAATGTTTGAATTGAGACGATTACGTGAGAGTATTATTGCGAGTTCTTCGGGCAAGGTTTTGCCCATTTTCGGCACACAGTGTAGGTCATTACTTCCTCCGATTGCAACATCCATTAGCGAATACCACTTTCATACTGAAAATAAACATTACTAAGTAAACTACTTCTTCGATTTGTTATCAAATCTAGACAGATGAAATGTATACAATTTGTTGTAGTTCAATAATCATATTTCTGAGTAAATAATATAAATTCAAATTAAATTTTATTTTTGTCAACTTTGGGAATAAACAATAAGTGTTTACAAGAAATATACTAGAAAACATATATCTTCGACAAGATTTAACGTATAACACAAATCTTGTTGTTGAAACCTCTTTTTCTCTTCATCATAGAATTAAACAACTTTCTGCAAGTCTTCTCATCCTGTACTCATGGAATCTTGATCTTCTAAATTATCACCATCATCATGGTCCATTTCACTCTCTGATGATGATTCTTCGTCCTCGTCATAATCCATGTCGCTTTCAGAGCACAGGAGATGAATGTTTTTAAATAATTGACCATACAATATAAACAAGGTATTTCGTGAAATTTTCAAGATTTTCAAAGTGTTTGGAAAATCTCGATATACTTCATGATAACATATAGAGAAGAAATAAAAGTAAAATGTGTTTTTTTTTTGTAAAATTCAAATTTATTTTATCAAATAGAAAGAGAATAATATTTCTTAACATGGTAACTATACAACAAAGATGTTGGAGTAGATATTTGAGATTCTGTGTGATTGTTGTACAGTACAAGGGAAGATTACATAATTCTTCGGAATCCATTGAAATTTGCAGAATTCACTAGATTAAGAGGAAGAGCAAGTCGAACTCTAGTCACTATACTTTTCATCATGGCTATCCTCTTCACTTTCTGTGTCCCTCATGAAAATGTCATCTTCGTATAGGAATTTCAATATATTTTCATTTGAATGAAATTCATTCCGATCCTCAGTCCACTTACTAAAGTTTTTGTGGACATATTTTATTCTTTTTGGCGCAGGGGCAAGTTCATCTTCACTATATTCATCCTCAGATGATTCACTTGATTCATCTGAGGATGTTTCATTTTCACCACTTTCATCATTTTCTGGGGATTCCTCATCGGTGACACTTTCGCTGTCTTCTTCATCACCATCGTATTCCGTCTCATTCCCACTCATCTCCTCTTCCATCATCTTCTCCTCATCATCGTCGTAGGTAATTTTCATTTCTTCTCTGGGGTAAGAATAAGCAAACTTTGCCATTTTCAAAAAGATTTCGAGAAGTTTTCTAAGCAACTGTTGCAGACCTTTACAAAACAGAACTGATGGATTTGTAAAAATTTGCACATGCTTTTATACCATTTTCGCATCCCCTCCAATGCATTTTACAATCATTACTACAGTTTTTCCGAAAAAAGGGTAGCAGGTAGTTCAATAAAAAAGAGACTTGTTAGTATTTCATTTTCTTAGAAATTTCGCAAATTCAGTAAATGTCGACAATTATTATTGTAAAATGTTTAACTTATATCTTTAAATATTTTAAATTTATAAGAGAAGAAAAAGATGATTGATTACTTGTACAAAAAAAGTAGAATGTTATTAAAAATGCTACAATTTACACAAATTCATGTATTTAAGTAATTTTGATTTATGATAGAAAAAAATGATGATTATCAAATGTTGAAAATTATGCAAAAATAATAATTTAAGAATTACCACAAAGTTGCAAGTTGAAACTTGCAAGAAATACACTTTTTTAATCATCAAGGAAACGGATATTTCATGAAAACATTAAATAAAGTAAAAATAAATTCTAAAAATTTAATAATTTTACTATAATTGACTATCAATTAGGTTTTATTCACGTTCCATTTAAAAATGTATTGCTAATTACTGAAATTGCCACAAATTCTAAATTTTTATTAATTTTAATTTCATTAGCATGTAAACAATAAACTTTCTTTTATTCTGAAGCAATTGTAATATGATTTCCTAAACTTTTGATAATCTTAGAATTTGCGAGTATTTCAATAATTTTGATTGATAATAGGAAAAAGGCGATTCGGGACACGGAGCAGTACACACGTGTTTGATAGCAGCATTATGATAAAAAATATTTCTGTTTTTTTGGCTTCGTTTGGAATCGAGTGTGTACTGTGTGATCGCTGTACATTCTTATTTTTGATAAATCTACACAAATGATTGTATTGGATGAAAGATAGTATACATACATTTGCAAATTTTTACATCAGTTTTCATCAGTTTTGTTTTGCAAACATCTACAATAGTTACTTAGAAAATTAACCGAAACTTACCTAAAGCTAAAAAATGGCAAAGTTCGTTTATAGCTACCCAAAAGAAGAATTGAAGATGGCCCACGCCGATGATGACTTCATGGAAGAGGAGATGTGTGAAAATGGAGATACGGAATCGTTGTATTCCGACCTTCGAGGAATTGATTCTTACGAAGAATTCGAAGTTATCTCTGATGACGAATTCACATAAACAGATGAAAATGATGAAAATTAATTGTCAGAAAATGAAAATGTATCATCTGGGGAAGAATCAAGTGAATCATCTGAGGATGAGTACAATGGAGACGAACTTGCCCATAAGAACTGAATATGAAATGAACTGAAGATCAGGATGAATTTAATTCAAATCATAAAATGTTGCAATTCCTCTATTAGCACGATAACAACAGTTGCTTAGAACAGAGGAATTGAAAAAGTCCCACGACGATGATGACTTGATGGAAGAGAAGATGAGTGGGAATTAGTCTGACTACGATGGTGATGAAGAAAACAACAAAAGTGTCTCTGATGAGGAAATACCAGAAAATGATGGAAATGAAATATCCTCAGATGAATTAACTGAATCATCTGAGGATGAATATAGTGGTGATGAACTTGCCCCTGAGGCGAAGAGGATAAAATACGTCCACTAGAACTACATCAAATGGACTGAAGATCGGGATGAATTTAATTCAAATGAAAATATTATAAAATTCATCTACGAGGATGACATTGGATGACTAGAGTTCGACTTGCTCTTCCTCTTAAGCTAGTGAAGGCTACAAATTACTATGGGATCCAAAGAACTATGTAATCTTCACTCTACGATTACCCACAGCCACTCGACAATTAATAATATTTTAATTTAAGTAATTCTTTTTTTTAGGGAAATTGTAAGTGTCGCTATTTACTGATATTCAATAAATTCTTTAAATGGAGTGTGTTTGCACATATTCTATTAACCTTTGAATATTTTTGCTAAACTTTGTTCATATATTGTTACATGAATTAGATCTTCAAAAAAAATAATTTGTTTAATTTTTTTTATTTTGATGTGACTTTAATGTATTAAATCATAATTAAATTTTAAAATTTGTTTAAAATGAATCATATTTTTAAGATCTTTACGTCTTTTGTCGTTGCTATAGACCAGCGGTCGGGGAACTTTTTTAACCATTACCCCAAAATATTATTGCGTAGTCGATATTACCCCCCCCCCATTCTGAATAGAAAACAATCAATGTAAATTTTAAATAAACATTATTTATTGAATTAATTTGCATTTACATATTTATAAAAAAAGTTACATGAAAATAGTAACAAATAGTAATAGACAAACAAAATAAAATTCTTAAATTGGAACAA